CCTAGGCGCAGTGGTTGTGTGCGTCACTCTCCTATTTCACGCAGAGAGCGTTAAATATGTGATCCCTTTCTCTCACAAAAAATATATCAGGCTCACTTGTATACAACACGGCGGACTCATTTGTCAGAAACAAAGAAAGAGACTCATCTCAAAAGGTAACCAGTCCAGATGCTCCTAGTCCGCGCGCATAGCACGTCTGGAATGGTTATTTTTTAAATTAACTAGCAGTATAAAAATTTGAAAAAACGTAAATTAAAAAAATCCCTGATTTTTTGAAAACAATGTGAATTATTATTTTCCAATTAAAATACCTTAAGAATTATAAAAAAAATCATAATTTTACTTTTTTTTGTGAATTTCGACAACTATTAATGATTTTTTGTCCTTGAATTTCAAAAAATGTTCCCTGATTTCAAAATATGTTTTTGAACTAAAACTGATGTTCCCAAATTTAAAAAATAATATCCAAGAATTTCTAAATGAAAAAAATAGAAAAATGATAAAGAAAACCGGTAAAAACAAACACACGAAAAAGAGAAAATGACGATTTGAGAAAGGTTTTAGAACCTTCCCAAAACCAACCGGAAAAAGAAACAGAAAAAAACTGCAATGGGCTAGGCCATGTAGCGTGCGGAGCGCTCAGTAAGCATTTGGCGCGGAACTACCGCAACATTTCCTACAACCACCATTTATTCCACTTTATCTTCTCCACAACCACCATTTATTCCACTTATAGTGCTATGGTCATGGCTCACGCTCATGTATTGCGTGAAGATTGAAAAAGTTTGAGAACATCAAAAGTATGAAACAATTGCTTGGCTTGTCATCAGGGTTGTGCATGATTTAAATATTTTGTGTGATGAAGATAGAGTATAGCTAGACTATATGATTTTGTAGGGATAGCTTTCTTTGGCCATGTTATTTTGAGGAGATGTGATTACTTTGTTAGTATGCTTGAAGTATTATTATTTTTATGTCAATACTACACTTTTGTCTTGAATCTTTCGGATCTGAACATTCATCCCACAATAAAGAAAATTACATTGATAATTATGTTAGGTAGCATTCCACATCAAAAATTCTGTTTTTATCATTTACCTACTCGAGGACGAGCAGGAATTAAGCTTGGGGATGCTTGATACGTCTCCAACGTATCTATAATTTTTTATTGTTCCATGCTATTATATTATCAACCTTGGATGTTTTATATGCTATTTTATATGATTTTTGGGACTAATCTATTAACCTAGAGCCCAGTGCCAGTTTCTGTTTTTTCCTTGTTTTGAGTATCGCAGAAAAGGAAAACCAAACGGAGTCAATTGACCTGAAAATTCACGGAGATTGTTTTTGGACCAGAGAAAGCCCACGGAGTACCAGAGATGGACCAGAGGAGTCCCGAGGCCACCACGAGGGTGGGGGCGCGCCCTACCCCCTGGGCGGTCCCCCTATCTCGTGGCCGCCTCGGGGACCCCCCCTGACTTGTTCTAGACGCCAACGCCTCTTATATAACTCCAAACTTCCGGAAAGAAACCTACATCAGGAGTTCCACCGCCGCAAGCCTCTGTAGCCGCCGAAAACCAATCTAGATCCGTTCCGGCACCCTGTCGGAGGGGGGAAATCCCTCTCCGGTGGCCATCTTCATCATCCCGGTGCTCTCCATGATGAGGAGGGAGTAGTTCACCCTCGGGGCTGAGGGTATGTACCAGTAGCTATGTGTTTGATCTCTCTCTCTCTCTCGTGTTCTTGATTCAGCATGATCTTGGTATATCACGAGCTTTTCTATTATAGTTAGATCTTATGATGTTTCTCCCCCTCTACCTCTTGTAATGGATTGAGTTTTCCCTTTAAAGTTATCTTATCTGATTGGGTCTTTAAGGATTTGAGAACACTTGATGTATGTCTTGCATGTGCTTATCTGTGGTGACAATGGGATATTCACGTGATCCACTTGATGTATGTTTTGGTGATCAACTTGCGAGTTTCATGACCTCGTGAACTTATGCATATGGGTTGGCACACGTTTTCGTCTTAACTCTCCGGTAGAAACTTTGGGGCACTCTTTGAAGTTCTTTGTGTTGGTTGAATAGATGAATCTGAGATTGTGTGATGCATATCGTATAATCATACCCATTGATACTAGAGGTGACATTGGAGTATCTAGGTGACATTAGGGTTTTGGTTGATTTGTGTCTTAAGGTGTTATTCTAGTACGAACTCTAGGATAGATCGAACGAAAAGAATACCTTCATGTTATTTTACTACGGACTCTTGAATAGATCGATCAGAAAGGATAACTTTGAGGTGGTTTCGTATCCTACAATAATCTCTTCGTTTGTTCTCCGCTATTAGTGACTTTGGAGTGACTCTTTGTTGCATGTTGAGGGATAGTTATATGATTCAATTATGTTATTATTGTTGAGAGAACTTGCACTAGTGAAAGTATGAACCCTACGCCTTGTTTCCTAGCATTGCAATACCGTTTTCGCTCACTTTTATCATTAGTTACCTTGCTTTTTTATATTTTTAGATTACAAAAACCACTATTTGCCATCCATATTGCACTTGTATCACCATCTCTTCGCCGAACTTGGCGTCGACGGCAACTAGACCGGACAACGTACATGCAGCAGTACAGCTCTGAAGATGGATTGGTGGTAGGTGGTTGCGGCGGCCTCAGACCTGGCAGGCGTCCTGGTTGAGGAGTGCGCCGGACTAGTAGGTGACCCATACCCGGCAGGCGTCCTGGATGGGACCTCAGGTCTTAGATGTTAGGTTTGGCTGCGAGGTCTGTTTGGTACTAGGCCCAGACTATCAGCATCCTTCATCTCTTGGATAGGAGTAGCGACACTTTTGTTGCTTAGATGGTGGCTTCAGTCTTACTGTTGTATGACTTTGTAAGGTCTTGTGTGAATAATTAATAAAGTGGCTGCATGCATCATCCAGATGCAGAGGCCGGGGGTCCTCCTCTATTTCCAAAAAAATAATTTACCATTGTATTGGGTGTGTTGGGGACACAAGAGACTCTTTGTTATTTGGTTGCAGGGTTGTTTAAGAGAGACCATCTTCATCCTACGCCTCCCACGGATTGATAAACCTTAGGTCATTCACTTGAGGGAAATTTTCTACTGTCTTACAAATCTCTGCACTTGGAGGCTCAACAACGTCTACAAGAAGAAGGTTGTGTAGTAGGCATCAACGACATGATCCGTTCATGAAAAACTTGTTGAACATCTGGTTAATCTCGTTGAATTTGAACTATTTCTCGTTGAGCTTGAACTATTGTTGTACTAGATTTATTTGCATGCTATGTATGGATGATTTGTGCTATTTTCTATCCGAACTTTGATGAATTCCGTCATGTTTGATAAATTTAGAAGATCCTCTTTGATACAAAGGATCTTCATGTATAGGAAATTTGCAAGATCAAAATTCATAAGCAGGGAAAGAAAACAAATGAAAACCCATGTACTTCTATGTATTCAATTGCGAGCATTCATGGGGTCCTATATGTCACTTGTACAACTAAAGCTCAATCATGTCTCATATTTAGCATACATGCACAGAACAGATAGCCCCTCCAAAGGCACTTTTTACTGCCCATCTGCTCTGTTGGCTAGCTGATCCTCTTGATCCCAACAGCACAAATATACAAAACAAAACAAGCTTGTCTCTCTCTTGTTCTTCTTCCTCCTGATCTATCTACCGTAAACTCGCAGTACTACTACTTGACAAGAGCATGCAGTGCGCCATCCTGCTGCTGCATGCTAGCAGTAGCTAGCCCTCAAAGGCTAAGTAAGCATGCATGCATGCACCTGTAGGACCTCTATCTGGCCACCTCTTGTGCTTGTGCATACCCTTCTCAACTAAATACCCAGCCAGGGCCTTGTAAGAGGTGCCCTTGTCTTTATTACTCCTCTCTCTCCTTCCTCAAGCTGCATGCATGCCCTACAAAGCCAGCCACAGGATGAGAGAGGGAGGAGAGAAGGATGGATGCAAGCAAAGGACATACTACTAGGCCTAGCTATTACCTATATACATGAGTGCAGATATGTGTGCATGTGTGATGTTTTGTGTGTTTGCTTGCCCAAGATCTAAGAGAGAGAGAGAGAGAGAGAGAGAGAGAGGCGTGGCTTACTCCATTAATGATTCATGCAGGGGGAGTCGTCGTCTCAGCGTATATGTTGCTGGTTACATAGTGAGGTGTCAAGTGTAGTGGTTTTGTGGGGCTTCCTTTCCTGCCTAGTGTGGTGCATAGTGACCTATATACATACACTCAAACACAGAGATCAGATACACACATGCGATGCGATGCAATGCAGACTCTCTCTCTCTCTCTCTCTCTCTCTCTCTCTCTCTCTCTAGGAGATGAAGAAGGGGCCAAGAGAGAGAAAGGATAGCAACACTGCTACAGCTTCGCTCTGGCTTGCAATCGTCACAGAATCCAAGAATCACATTTGCTTCTTTCGCGCACACAGCATCTTGAGAGAGGGATCTAGAGAGAGAGAGAGAACGCACTGTAGGTGTGTGTGAATGTGTGTGAGAGGAGAGAGAAAGGGGCGGCCGTGTGCAGAGGTGAACTGATAGAGAACTTTCAGGCTTCTCTCTCTCTCTCCACCTAAACCTCTAGTGCACTCTATCTCTACACACCCCAAACCAACACTTTAAGACAGCCTTTCCCCCCCAATGCATTAACTGCAGTGTCTTTTTGCTTTTGTGTCTTGGTACTAAATCATCAATAATACTAGGGGGAATACTAGTGCTACTCTCTCCCTCTCTCCCCCTCCCTCTCTCTCTGTCTCTCTCTCTACACAGTACACACACTCGACACCACTGATGAAGTACTGAACACAACACCCCACCACCACCCGATATATATCCCCTCCCTTTTCCTTTCTCCTCCAGCCGGCCCCTTCCAAAATCTCCATTGCATCATAGAGTGTGTTCAGTTGTTGCTGTTTCTTCTCCTCTCACACCACTGCTCTCTCTGCTCCTGCTCCACTATGTAAGAAGAAGCCTCTACAAGCGCGGCCAACTACCCACTCATCACTTTCCCTTGTCTTGTTGTTATGTTATTGTTCATCCCCATGTTTTATTTGTACATCACATCGCTTCTGAAACATTATTCTCCTTGCTGTGTCTTGTTGATTCATCCTCTTCTCTCTTCTGCAGTTTACAACGAACTAGCTGCATATTAGTATACTTTTTCTATCATAAGCTCCTGTTGTCAAACAATAATGAACGGATCTCTCCATGAGCACCTTGTTTTTTTGCTGTGCTACACATATTTTCGATCTTGTTCTTGGTACTTTGGTAGTTTGGTGCAGCGATAGTGCCACTAATTGTCTGTTGTATCAGAGTTCCTGTACTTCTTATCATTGTATGAATCTCCATGAACTAATCAATGTTTTCAACTCACAAAGGAGGCAACAAGGGAGCCCCTTGGACTTGAACAACCTGCCGGAGGAGTACGGCAAGCAAGCCGTGGAGAGCTCAGCGACCACCGCCGCATCCAGCGCCGCCGCCGCCCCCGACGCAACCAGTAAGAAACTCCAAGCATCGACTATTTCATTCGATTTGAAGATATACTAACATGTACTTGCAAATGTGTTTCATCAGGGACAAAGAAGAAGAGCATCGGAGGGAAGGATGAGGCCGGCAAGGTGTACCAGTGCAGGTTCTGCTCCCTCAAGTTCGGCAAATCCCAAGCCCTGGGAGGCCACATGAACCGCCATCGCCAAGGCAAGTACCATCTGCCAGATCACAACCCTAGCTAGATGTTACTTTCTCTTCCATGCAAAGTTGGTTGGTAATCTTACTTTCCTTGGCTCAGAGAGGGAGACCGAGACCCTCAACCGAGCCCGGCAGCTCGTCTTCGGCAACGACACCCTCTCCGCCGTCGGCGCACAGATGAGGTGCCTACCATGGCCGGCCGTCTCGATTCTTGAAGAGATTAGGGTTTTTCCATGGCCGCCACTGAACTTCTTTCTCTTCTGCAGTTTCAGGGATGTGAACATGGGAGGCAGTGCTCCATCGGCCATGCTGGGAGGAGGATTCAGGGGAGGCTTCACCGGCAGCGGCGGCGGGGTCGTCGGAGACCCGAGCCACCACCCGTTCCGGCCGGTGCACCCGCGGGTGTCGCCGCAGACACCGCCGTCGTACCACTACCTCTACAGCACGACGCCGTCCGCGTTGAACCCCATGAGCTACCCGGCGACGTACCCTGCTCCTCCCCGCCAGCAGCCCGCCTCCGTCGGCGACTACGTCATCGGCCACGCCGTTTCCCCCGGCGACGCAATGATACAGCAGCAGCAGCAGCAGCGACGCGCTGCCGGCTTCTCCTCCTGCTTCGGCGCTCCACTCTCCGCGCCGCCGTCGACGGCGCCGGCGAACGTGCAGGCAGACCACAACTACAGCTTCGGGTGCGGCGGCCACACCAGAAATATGAATGCCTCCTCCTGAGTTGATCGATGCAGCTAATTAAGCTATTTAGTGTAAAGAGCCAAGAAATTATCTGAAGAACTTAAGATAGGCTGTTAAGTTTTTGGATATCTCTCAAATAGAGGGAACTGTCTCAGAAGTTTGATTTGCCTTGAAATTCTAGTAGGTAAGCAGTACTGCATATGTTTGAGCTTTGTGACTAATCTATTAATGTCGGTTTTTGATTTGTGTGCTCATTTTGGTTTTATGGACTTGCCCCAATTGATGTTTTTTATTCTACTCTAAAATGTTTTAGGAATTTGGGAATCATTATTTTTTTAGAAAAACAATTATTCATGAAGGCTGAATTAAAACAGGTTACACGAAATTGAGTACTATAAAATAGTAGCATGTTTTGGAGCACTATATAGTTTTTTTTTGCGGGGGACACTATATAGTTCTGTGAGCATATTTATGTGAAACTAAAGATTCAATACTGTTACTACGTTCATTGATTTTCTAAACATAATAATACTCCATTGTCAACGACTAAACCTATAATCAGTTTGAATAAAAAAAATTAGGATAGATCATTTTGCACTCGCTAGCCACTTCATTTAATTGCTCTACCTGGAGACGGCAAATCAAGTTGCACAAGACAGTCAACTTGAGCTCAGAACCTGGCATGTCAATGTTACATTAAACGTGATTTGACATGGGCTCTGCAAGTCAACCAATGTAAAGATGGCAAAATTATGAGCTGGCCGGTTCAAAAAACTATAGTGTTTGCTACACTGAAGTACCCTTTGGATTATGGACAGTCCCGTACTATACGTGTTCTCGAAAAAGATTATGGGCAGTGCCATGCACATTGACTACTACCGTTTTTTGATGGAACAGCTAGCTTTCCTGCCGGCGTGCCGTAGCAGCACATTAATTTCTGGTATGCAGGTAGTACTCCATCGGCGTTATCATTTCTGAAATCATCACCATCAAAAGGTCAACAATGCCGTGCAGTGTTTTTTTTCCCTCAGGGGCAGAGCTGCATATTGTTTTGCGATGCATAGACATTGATTTATCTCAAGACATGCTTTCATAATATCGTAAGTTTATTTGGTTTATGCACAAGTATTATAAACAAATTGTGGGTTATCTTGTTTTTTGGAGACCATGTCTATTTTTTGCGAGTATTTTGGAGACCATGTCAATACCCAGAACTTCAGCTTTCTAACATTTTTGCAGGCTATTGAAAACATTTGTCGTTGTATATTTTTCATGATAGTTAGAGGAAACTGGCTTAAAATATCTAGAAAAAATAAGTTATTAGCAAAAATAATTGCTTGGCCATAAATTGTCAGAAAATCAGAAACGGCAATACTTAACCTAACCAATCATTTTTTTCTCACCAGTTCTTCTGTTATTTATTTTTCTCAAGACAAGATCAAGGTGGCTAAGGCTATACTTATTAGTGTATTAATGTGGTTAAATAGAAATAGTAAATTCCAGTTGTAATTCATTTAAATTTCATAATTGGAAGGATGCTTTTGTTTTTTAATCTTTACTTTTTTATCTTAATTTACTTGCATGGTAAAGGATTTGAAATTTAAATATTACATGAGTTTATTTACTCCAGTTTGTCCTAGTGTCAACAATAGTTTTAGTGATGAGGTACTGTGCTTATTATGAGCAATTTTCCATTACAGTTCTGGGAAGTTAGTTTCGGAATATAAAGAACTACTACCACACTGGTTTTAATTGTTTGATAGTCATATTGCCAGTTAAACAAAACAACAAAAATTTAAGCAATTTTTTATCCTTTTCTCTTCCAAAGTGTGTTATTATTCAAATATTTAAAATTAAATTGAACTGGAGTGGGAACTTTATATTTAGTAATTTGTTTAACTACGTATTTGGCATGCTATGCTGGTTTCTTAATTTTCAAAGTCTATCTATCTATATTATACATATGTACTAAAGATTTTGGAATTAGATATATTGAGTACAATTTTCTATTCTAGTGAGTTCTCGTGGCTCAAATAATTTGAATTAATCTATGTGTAACTTTATACTTTGAGATTCGATGATTTTATGTCAAAGATATGAACTTCTCCCACACATGTCTGTAGTGGATGAATAAGATAGCTCACTTAAAATTATTTTTGGGACGCAATCTTTTGAGTCAAGGGCGTATAACACTCCGTCGAACTCAAGAAGTGGCATAACATCAAACTAGTCTTGAGGGCCTCAATGGAACCATGATTTTTTTTAAAGGTGGGAATATGAAAATATAGGATCAAGATATGACGCCTTCATGAATCCTACAGGATAATATGGAACAACTTGGAAGTACGATTCAGAATTTCTTTTTGGTGATTACAGAAATAATGGAAAAAACAAAATTTGAAGTCAAATTCAAAACTAATTTGAAATGAATTTAAATTATGTCAAGATACATTTAAAATTAATTGAATTTTGACAGATTAAATTCCGAAAGGATCTTGAAAAAAAATCGGTGACATCCGAAAAAATTTAAACGTTGCTTAGAAGTGCACTTAAAATCATCATTTTTAGGTCATCGTTTCAAATCATCAGTTTAGGCCTCTTTGGTTTGTAGGAATTTGGATGGGATTTTCAATGGAGAAAAATTCTTTGGAGCCCTTTGGTTTGTAGGAAAGATTTTTCTATTCCTATGTTGGATAGAAATCAATCTTTCACATTTCAAAAGAAAAATAAATAGCGTAGACTTAATGAAAAAATTTCTATGACATACATCACATGACATCTTTTTATAGGAATTGAGATGCATCTCATTTCACTTCCTATGATTTTCCTATTCCTATGAATTCTTATGCTATGAACCAAGGGAGGCCTAAACTATTTTCACGTGTGAGTTCTCCAGCTCCATCCATCTCCAAGGATCGAGTGGCCTACGCTGTGGCCACGGTGTGCATGCGCACCTGCCCCTAACCTATATCTGTATATAACTAGCTAAAGGCCTGTGGCTGCTAGCTAGCCCACAAAACCCTGCATGCATTGCATGCATGTGTACGCCCAGGCCAACCAAATGACTGGTGGTGCGTGTGAGCTTCTCGATGCGTACACATACATACATGTACCACATATCATGTCGTTCGAGTTGTCAAAGTAAGCAAGCAAGCATGCCGGCCTGCCAGCCTCCTCCTAATGCTCCAGCTAGCTCCCAGTCCTACTACCACACCCACACTGGCTTTAATCAGTGAGGCTGCTGCATGCTTCTTTCTCTCTGAATTGAAAGCTGCTGCCTGCACCAAGTCGAGCTCCCTCCCTCTTTCTCTCTACACACATACACATATATCAACCAGTATTTTATTGTAGCAGCAGTAGTATATTTTGAAAGGAAAAAGGGTCTGGAAACCTTTGCAGTTTGCAATGTTTAGATGTTTATGCCAAAGCAGCCACGCACAGCTACTTGCATGAGGAGTACATATACATGGAGTAAACAATGGCTTGGCATGCACCAGCAGCTACCGCAGCAGCACTGCATGCCCAACCCTAGCCTCGTAGCTTCTGATCTGCTGTCTTCTTTTATTTTATGATCTCTAGCTGCTGCGCAGCCCCCATTTGGCACACAGATTAACAAGGGGAACAATCCAAGCACATGGAAACAAACCTCCAGATCGCACTTGCAGATCGTTCCGACCCGGAGTGGAAAAGGGATGGTACTTGACCATGAGTTGCCACGAGGAGTGTGGACATGTGGTCGATACCGCAAAGTAGGAAACAGTAACAACAAAAGGTGCTTTTGTTCTTCCTTTCATTCGGAGGAGAAATAATTATTTCTATCTCGATTAATTAAGTTGTACACAATTTTAATTTGAAATGTGCAGCTACTCAAACTTTTTTGCACAAAATATCAACGCCCTAGTTGCCTAAAGTTGAGGGCTTTGCTAGGGCGTTTATCCGAGTGATTGAAAAAAAAAACTACCACTTTACGGGTTTGTGTCCCACTGAACTATCACTTTTTAAAAAGTGACCGAAAACTACTACAAAAAATTAATTTTATGACTAAAAACTACCATTTTCAGATAATGACAAGTTTAGATGATTTAAAGGAGTTTATGACAGGTGGGCCTGCCTGTCATGGTTGATGTGGCAGAGAAGTCAACTACTCCACACATCCATCTTCTTTCTCCTTCCCCCCTCTCTCTCCCAGAGCCGCCTTCTTCTCACCTGCCCCGCGACCTCTTCCCAGGCGCCGCCGCGCACCGCCCGACGAGCAACCTCCCCAGCTCCTGCGCCTTCGTCCTCGCGCCGCCCCGCGTGTACCTCCCCTCGCCGCCACCGCCCACCGGGCGCGGGCGCCGCTCCTCTGCCTCCCTTCCCCAGACCGGATCCGCCTCCACGATGGCTGGATCCGCCTCCCCCGCGGCACAGGGGTCAACTTCGACCTCCCCCGTCGACCATCACGAGCGGGATATGTGCGCCAACAAGCTACATATCCCGCTCAACCTCTCCTACCCCACCTGCATCGGCGAGCAGAGGGGAAGGGCCCCCACCACGCGCGCATTGCTCTTGAAGGTCGCCGGCGGTGTGGAACTGCAGTTCGCCGGCGAGCCGCTAGGGGTTGGAGCTTGACGCAATGCCCATCCCGCGCAATGGAGAGAGGGAGGCTGCAACAGTGCTCGTCGTCGTGTGTTTGCTAAAATTTCAGAGAGAGAGATGAGGAGGAAGAAGGTGTGGGCCGCACCTGTCATAATGCCCAACTTAATAGTCAAAATAAAATAGAGTTGACTTTTCTCCAACATCAGCCCTAATAGACGGGCCCCACCTGTCATAAACATGTTTAAATCATCTAGATTTACCATTATCCGAAAATGGTAGTTTTTAGTCACAAAATAAAAAAAAAATTGGTAGTTTTCGGTCACTTTTTAAAAAGTGGTAATTCAATGGAACGCAAACCCCTAAAGTGGTAGTTTTTTGTCAATCACTCCGTTTATCCAAACATGGATGATAGTCACCCTGGTTGATCATAGCTTTATGTAAGGTCTGAATTTTAAATCTGG